AATATTATAAACGGTAAAAGTTTTGGTTCGCGAATTATTTTTTTATCGCGTACGATTTTCTATGACTACTTTATTATTTTTGTTTTTTTTTTTTTTTTCGTTTTTAACGTTACACAGGGTACGTCCGTATCGCGCGATTATTAAAACGCGACGGTAACGAGTAGACGATGTTCGCGCGAACGCGCGCTCATTTCACTTGGCACGTCGGTCCGCGCGTTATTGACAACCTCGAGTGCATTATCGTACGGGCGTGCGGGGAAACGTCGTCGACGGATATCGCGAGTTTTACTTTCTAACTGCACGCGCTGCGGCGCCGCTGTACGCGCGCGCGCATACGTACGCAATGCCCGTACACACGCTCGGGACGGCCGCCGTCAAACGTCTCGGCGTCGTGCGGTCCGTCCGTCGTACGCAATCGACAGTGCGCGTAATGACCGGCGAATCAATTATTATTCCAAGGACCGCGGTTCGAGCGGTTTGCAAAACGAACGTATTCACAGCTATAATAATTTTATTCCGAATGATATTGACGTGCGCGCGTATACGCGCGTATTGTAGACGCGCGGTAGGTACCGTATTAGCGCGCCATCGGGAAAACGGACGAATGTCACTCGTACCCCGCGCGCGTACAACGGCCAGAAGTGTCCGCGCAGTTGTTATTATATCCTGCGATGTTATAGTATCGTGTGCAACCCATAAACCCGTAAACTCCTTCTGGATTTCATCTTGAGCGCGCCTATATAGCGAATCGACCGATCCTCGGGCTGTACGGTTATAATATTGTTATTTATGCGCGTACACGGGAAAAACAGTGTGCTCGTTTACTGTTCGTTCGAGTACTTGTTGTTTATTTATTCATTTTTTTTTTTTCAATCGCGATGTCTGTTTATCGGTTATCGTGAAAATTTCAAAGAATTTCGGATAACTACGAAACGGCCAGCGTGGGTGCCTGGAATGCAGTCGTCCGCGTCCAGCATCACGGAACCGTTTATGTCGCGGTTGTTAGGTGAAAATTTCACGTCCCCGCAACTATTGATTGTCACTGAGTTACACACCATAGAAATACACAAACCCAAACCGAAATAATAAATACCCGTCTTTGCGTACATTTTCGCTTTTTCTAACGGAATCTCCGGGTCTTCTTTTTTTATCAAATCAAGAAGAGTAAAAAGAAAATATAAAAAATACACATCACAATGTACGTATTTGACTATATTTACTAACAAAACTCTACGTCTGATATGGACGATTGGATCAAGGTTTCCTGTCGAAAAAAGGTATACATGCAAAAAGAAAAATATAAAACACACAACACAGTAATATTCTATACCTAATAGGCATTACTCGCTTCCCTCTAAAAACTTTAATAGTCTTCGTGCCAGTTTTTTTTTCCTGAAAGGGACAATGGAGTTTTAATAATGTAGTTCGATTTCGATGTTTACTTTTTTGTTGAAAAGAGGATAATTTCTACATTCCTATAAACCACATTAAAATCAATTTTTCAAAACGTACGACTCCAACATTATATTATGTCTAAGGAAGAGAATTTTTAAATTTTTTTATACTATTAATTAAAATTCAATGAATTTAATAAATAGCCATAGTTAAAAGCTATTTGTATAATTATGTTGTTTATCAATTATTAAAATAACGTTAGGTAAATATTATTTGGAAAATTATTCATCCCTTTTTTTCAAGACGATACATCCGTCCGTAATCCTTCTTTGCGTATAAGACAGTTGATCAGTGAAAAAAGTCATACCATGGTGAAAGTAGCCAATAAAATGTCGAAAGTAATGTTTAAATTAAACCAAAAAATTGTAAATTTGTTCGCATTTTGAACTATTTTTACCACTTTTAGAGCAGTTTTAGTATTTTTAGTTAAATTTTAAGAGTACTGAAATGTATTTCTTTTTTTGGGTATTTTCGTCTATTTTTTGGGACGTTTCACTATTGTTTTCAGGTCGCTTACATCCAAGAGCTAGATAATAAAACGAAAGGGATAAGATAAACACTTGACTGAGTACAGAAATAATTAAGACCTTTTTATTTTTAATCACCAGTATTTTGAACATAATATTAATATTATAATATTTCACTCATTATTATTATTAATATTCCACACCTCGTTTAATGAGTTTATAGTTTTTTTTTTTTTTCATATATAAACTATTAACTTTTGTTAGGTATAATAATAATGATAAGCTTTATGGTCTGGAAAATGGTTGAACAATTTTTAATTTTTTTCCCCTCCGCGTGTCCTTTCAAACGAATAACTTTTTTTTATAAAACAAAGCATCTAACTTCCGTTTGTAATAGAGTATACTATATACTAAAGCAGCAATAACTAAACATGTAACAGAAAAAACCATGTATATAAATATATATAGGTACTACATAGCGATGATATTGAATTTATTTGTACGTTTTTTTCCACCTTTTTTTTTTTTTTTTTTTTTTTTTTAAAAATATATTGTTGTACACAGGTCCGTATTATTATAGTTAAAATTGGATTTCATCCCCTTCGGCGTTTTATTTATAAAAGCGGACGTAGTGATATATACATAGTAATATACAACGGTTATACGACCTATAACTGGGGATAAAATTTTTTTTTCATGCCTTGTTGTGGTTTTATAGAATAAAAATTTACGCACGCTCAAAAGTTCCTGCAAGCTATACAATACGATCTATTCAATATGTGATCTACAGCAATTTTCTAGAAGAATCTCGATTGAGTTTGATTATTTGATTTTTTTTTTTTCAATCGTAGAAACGTTTATTTAAAAAAAATGATAATAATAATAATCTGCTTTCAATTGTTAATCCCTATTCCTCGTACCTTAGACGAGTAGAACCCACCGTCCGTGATGAATAGATCACTCTGTATATCATTTCGTGAAAATTCAATCGCAGATGAAAACGTATAATTGTACTGAAATTTGTAAATAGATTTTTTATACAAAAAATAAATTAAGTATAATAATAATATTTTAAACAACATTCACGGGCGCACGTATAGACAACAACCGGTACGAGATTTAATCCTATATATTTAAAAAATAATGTTATTACATCACGCGTGTCTAATTTTTCGGTAATTTTTCGACTCGACAATATTTTTGTTTTTTTTTTGTTCTATTTTGGGATATTATAATTAATAATATTAGTCATTAGGATTTTTTGTTTCCCATAATATTATTTTTCTCAAATGCGAAATTAATCGAAAAAATTATACCGAAATATGTTTAACATGAACAGTATTTTCAATATAATATTTCATATATTATTATTATTAATATTTCATGTCTTGTTTGATGCATTTGGAGTTTTTTTGTTTTTAGAATTGTATAATATTATTTTTTTAACAATTTTTTATTTCGCATAATATTATTTTACTTAAAAGCGAAACTAATCAAAAAAATTATACCGTATTATGTTTGTTCAACTCGAAACTGTATCATAATAATAATTTTCTCTTTTTTTTTTAAAAAAAAAAAAAAAACCTCCATTACGATATTATAACTACGGCAATAAAACATTTATCCTCTTCGTCAATGGGAAATTTCGAGGAACGAGAATTGCACAATCGCGTACAAAAACCATACGTCAATGACACACACACACTTTGTTTTTTTTTTTTACGACGATTTTACACTGATCCTATTTAAATTTATAATCCACGGTAATTGTATTATTTACTACGGTTATAATTCGCACGGGAAAAATAAAAGGAAATTATTTACGACATAAAAATCATGTTCTAGACATTGATTATTACATATTATTGTCTGAGACCTCCCGTCGATTTAATAAAAAATATAAAACACGACTACGTCGACTAATATCCCGAGGAAGTAAAGCTCATGTCAATATTCAGTGATTTTTTTCTTCTACCATGCAATTTGTTTCATTTAATTTTCGGTCTAAATCGCATTAGTGTGTGCCTATAATGTATAATTGAATTGGTTTGCCAGCAGAGGATCCAGTACTTAACTTTCGGAGGCAAAATCATTTACAACGATGATATTACAACTATACGGTGTTTGGGAGGGGGAGGGAAATTGGCTCTATTCCTCCACTGGATCCGCTACTGGTTTATATACAAGCGTATGCGTTTAACAAATTTAATTTGCACATATACATTCGGTCAGACCAAAAGACAAAAAAAAGTTCAGTTATTGCAATAGTCGACAAACGGTGAAAAATACAAAAATTCTTGGTGCAAAAAATGCTATCGAATAAGTAGGATAGAGCGTTTTATCAAACGATAAATTTTGTGGACACGACAAGTGCATTTAATGCACGTCTACGACCCGTCGATGAGTGTCATCTAAGCCGCTCAGCTACAAGGAACGTACAATATGGTCACAAAACTATGAACGGGGAACCGAGAACCCGGGTCGAGATTTTAAAACCTTAACCTAACCGGGCACGGTTGAAAAAACTACGCACGAACGACCGGAACCCTTCCAGACCGAAGACGTATTTGGACGGTAATAAAAAGGTAGGCGGTGGGTATTGTTTAACGAAATGATATATCGAATCGTAGTATCATAACGGAGGAATTGTATATGTGGAAAAGGGTTTCAGAAGATTGTTTGCGATTTTTATAGAAATGAATTCGGCAAAATAGAAAGTGACGGCGGCGGCGGTTTATTTTCTACTTTTTTTTTTTTATCACACCCAGTGCGGAGGTGGTGGTGGCAAGACATATGTCAGAAGCACACAGCCGCGACGATAATATTATTTCGTAAACTCTCGGTCCCTTTTCTGAGGGGTTTTCTTTCTGCTGCGTGCGGCGTGTGTCGTGTCAGTGTCGTTCGCGTCCCTTTGGCTTTGCTTTGCTTTGCTCGGCGTTGTCGTCTGGGGGGGGGAAGAATGTGAAAATGTAATTACGTCGCGCGTATTAAAAATAAAAGGATATACTCGGGCGTACGTTATAATACGTATGCGTTGCGTATACGTATAAAGAGAAAGGGAGTTTTTTTTTTTTAGTTTTTTTTTTTTTTGTGAACCGAGTTAATTCCAGAAAAAAAGGACGATGTGAGGCGGGTCGTATTTCGTTCCGCGCGCGCGATTATAGTATGCAGAATACAACAGGACACACGCGTGCCTATGTAGTGAACTCGAAGGGGAGGGTAGTGCAATTGTGTTCGGAATAGAAAACTATATATGCACACACATACACATATGCACATACACGGAGAAATCGTCGTGAGGAGGGAGCCCGCTGCTGTATCGCAGCCTCCGCGACGAACGACGACGAAACGAAAAGGTACCTATTATTATAAACGCGCGGACGAGCGGCGTGCGGGGGGGGGGGTCAGCGAACCACGGCGATGGGCGACAGGTGTAGGGGAAGCTAGGGGGGGGTATCAACGTTTTGGGAGATTGTGTCTGTACATAGAGGGTCCACCGCCTCCGCCACCACCGTGACTCGACGGATTTAATTTAAAACTTTTCCGGGTCGACAAAAACTCCCCTCTGATGCCTAGCCCTTCGAGTCCCCCCTTCGCTCTTGCTTACCACACTCTCCTCCCTCCACCGGGAATTCAGACACGTGTTCTATCGTGTCGCCTTTGCTGTCGTGTCTTCGTCGAGATCACCGCGGCGGACACGAAAAAAAAATAATCAAATCAAATAAAATGAATTCCCAACTCGGAAATTCAGACGGATATACAGGTAAACGGAACGCACCTGATTCCTTATATCGTAGCAACGGAGTGATCCTCGTGACACCCGAGCAATCCAATGATCCACGACATCGTTGGAAGTGCCGACGGTTTTTCATCATCTCCGTCGAGTTTTTTTCGCCGTCTGCCTTGTGACGAATTAACGTCATTTATTACCTCGCGACGCGACCCCCGAATCGATCCGCCAATCGTCGTCTGGTCGTTCCCTGGCTTCCGTATAGGGCCGGGATTTCAATACAATGAGCGATTTTTTTTCCTCAACGCTACAGGATTATAATGCATCAATTCAAGTACTTGCATCATTACGGTTTGCCGAACGGATGAAACGTACTCGAAATTGAAACTTGTATTTCGCACGTTTTAGAATTTTTCTAATTGTTATTTAATGCGCATACATTTGAAACAAAACTAAAAGGTTCCGCGAAATATGATTTCCGTATAAAATTCGTCCTTACAATATACAAGAAAATTCTTTGGACACTACCGACATCACGCATCACTTCTAATGAATGGCGTTTTTCTTTACCACATTACGACTTTTTGCTATTTTTCTACATTATCCCATGGCATTACATTGTTTTTTAATAACATCAATTTGATAAACGATAGATATTGTAGTACGTTTTCTGTTAGAATTTTGATTTATTCATTTTTTTTTTAGATTCTGAGCGAAGCGAGTATTGTGTTGTTTAAATTGTGATAAGTGTGTGTGCTTTTTTTTTGATCTGTGAATCATATTCCAATCTGAATTCCTACACATATTTCCAAATGTAGCGTCTTATCTGAAAGAAAACTATATCTGGTTGATGCGATGATCCTTTTCTGTTGTTTTATTTTTTCGAAAATTGTTTTTTTTTTTTATTTAGAAAAAAAGACAAAAAAACGGTTAAATTTCACGGCATCACCGGTTACACTGTTTTTAATTTTGTTGCAATTGAGGCAATCTCAAAGAGACTTGAAATTCGCACGCAATACTCATAGTATACCTATATGCGCCTTTTATTTTAAGGTAATATTTAAAAAAAAATATTTATGCCATTTTTGTGTTGTTAAGTAAATATGATATTTTGATATTGGCATTTGATATTTTCGAGGTTCTTTTTTTCAATTTTGTACGGAAAGAAATGCTCGGAAATCGTGCACGGAGTTTCGTAACAAGCGTGTTTGAAGCACGATAATATTATGAAAATATAAGTAACAGTCGGCGCCGTTTCAAAACATGTTTTGCCGAGCCCCGTTCGGAATCGCGTGTTTCGGTATAACAATGATTTATCGTCGCGTATACGGATATAAATTGAATGACTCTACGCGCGTCTTGCCGTTCTCGACTTCTCGCCAACAACAGCGGCACATCCATCAGCGGCGATACAGCAGTGATACCAGCGGCTCTCTTCTCTTTTTATTTTATTTTTTTTTTTTTGTTTCTTTCTTTCTATACCTATATATTTTTAAACTTGACGGTTGTGAGCCAGCGACTTATCCGACGCGACGGTCACGTCTGCGCCGCCGGAGGACGGGCGAATTTTACGCGCTCCACCATCTCGAAAACCGACCCCGACCCACTCGACCGGTGTGTCTCTATTCCTCTTCCACATTCTCCGTCTCTCAATCGATACCGTTCGTTCGGCTTTTGCAATCGAAATGGCTGATTGACTGCCGCAGTCGTACGTCAAGTGTCGATACGCGGACGCCAGCCGCGAGAGTAGCGCATGAGACGAAGACACGATGAGGCACGGCGCCGACGGTATTATCGGTGCATTATACTCGTCGTCGTTCATCAATCACCGGTCACAAAACAGAGCCCGGCGACCGGTAAGTTCTTAGTCGCGACTCGTGCAACCGTCTCGATTTTACCGTTCGACCCTTTCGTCCCTCCGGATAGGTAATATTATTTTCTCGCGTTTTCATTATTGTTTTTTGTACGCGGATGCAATCAGGCGCGTATCCCGGGTACGTCCGAAGGGTAGCGTCACAGTAAATGCGTGATGTCTTTTTTCAGAGATAAAGCCTATAATTATACATTGAGGCGTTTCGCAAAATGCGTGTATTAGTTGCGAAAATAAATATTCAAAAAAAAAGCCGTTGCCCGGATAATGTTCCGGTCGTTGGGTTCCACAACAGGCCGCGATTCGCTTTAAAACTAACGGCACGACGATCCACTTGTATACTCACGACCTTAAAAACGGAATATCTCGTCAATTCCAACACCGAAATGACGTATTTTAACCCGATATTTCTCCGTCTGTACGCGGTATTTTCGCTGTAGGTTTGCTGTTCGTGAACAAAATAATAGTCTTTTCATCTCCCCGATGATTCGGGCTACTGAAAATAACGGTAAAGTAACGCGATAGAGCCGCTCGTAGCGGAAAAAAATCCGGAAAAACGTTGATACTTTTGCGGAAGCCCAAAGTTTAATGTATTCACCGGTGCATGTGCGGTATACACCGTACGTCCATATAATATATCTACCTGCTTGGCGTATACGGACTACTAAATCAACATTTATTCATTAGAATAACAATAAATCAGGTCTGCTATGCGAATACGTATGTACAAGGGGACGCGCGGTACCGCGAGTACTTCGCAGCGAGAAATTACGGCGCAAAAGGGGCCTCATTGTTAGTATAGCGCACAGGTGGACAGAGGCGGGTATAAATAACGGGAAACCGGGAGAATCGTCGAGCGAATAGTTTGCGAACGTTATTATTATTATTATTATAGAATACCGCGCGGGATCGAAAAACTACGAGAACCGTATTCGGATCCGGTCGACCGGAGAGACGAGAGTACCGCGACCTACCCCGGAATCGAATCGCGACGACTGCGGCACAGCGGATGTAAGCGGCCGCGCTATCGTTTGTGAAAAGGGTTCGAGGGCGTAACATTGCAGTGACCGGCGAGGTTTTCGGGCCGTCCGATATCAACGTTATTATAATGCGTCACGATTATCGCGACCGCGCGCGTTATTGCGAAATAATAAGAATCGTTCGTGTCGGTTATACGAATAACTACGGCCGGTTTTATTTGTCGACCGATAAAGTTGTCGCGAAAGCGTACTGCAAACGTCCGCTCAAAAATAAAAAAAAATTAATTGAATTTCCGACGCCGAATTCGCGGGGATTTTACAACGGTTCGACCCGGTTCGCGCAGTACTTTCGGGCCCGGACGATTGACGTTCGGCCGTCTTTTTTTTTTTTGTTTATAAATTAGTCCCCCGAACACAATACTACACCGCAGCCGACGTCGCGTTCGATCGAAAAATAGCAAACGTCATTATGCCGTTATCATTACAGTATTATAGACGAGACGCGGTGGTGCGGCTGCACGTGCACGGCGTGTATTCGCTTCCGAAACGATATATTAGCGCACGTCGGCGACGTGACGTACGACATTTATTATGACAATTTTCGAACGCGGCACGCGGATCGATAAAATTTGAATACACTCGAAAACCGAAGTATATAGACGCGCGTCGGGGGGAATAACAATGACGAACGGTTATCCGTATGGAAACGACGGCGGCGCTGTGTATTTCCGAACACGTTTGCGTTTCTGCACGGCATCTATATATTCATACATCTAATGACATACATAAAATGTCGTTATAGCGTTGTTTGTTGAATATCTTTGGGTTTATTGTCTATTTTTTATTTTTCCTATTACGCATTCTCTATGTGCGCTATTGAAAAAAACCCCGAAACCGCGCGGTAAAACGCGGCCTATAAAAAAAACATAAAGACAACTATAATACACACACAGCGCGCTTCCGACGCGTAGGCGTTCAAGTCCACCGTTGTGTTTTATCCATATAAACTATAGGGCGGTCCATATTTATAGGAGAAAGGAAAAAAAATTAAATACTTTAAGTGCCGTACCTTCCAATATTTCATTTTTTCCACCTTAAAAATGATGCATTCTTTTAAATTTGATAATGATAAATCGACCACTTCCTGTGCCTCAATGGGGTTGAAAAATGGCCAAAGGGGTAAAAACGTATGGCTTTTAGTTTTCAAGTCGAAAATTAAAGCCACAAGGCATACAATCTTTTATAAAATTGTATATAGAGCGTGCAATTGTCTATAGAAAAGTTTTCTACGATACTTTCGGGACATGAAAGATTGTCCGAGAAAAAGTAAAATACAAAATATTTAATTGATTTGGAAAAATTACAAGTCCATTATAGACACTTAACTCATTTGGATAAGCGAAAAATAAATTATCTGAGATAAATAATCGATATTTTTATCTTGATCCAGACAATTGAATAATTGTTTTTTATCTTGATCTAGACGATATTGTGAAATAAATGATTATCTATTGCTGGTATCCAGATAATTTAAAATCGGTTTTATTTTGAAAACAAACAATCTCCGCAATATAAAACGAAAAAATTCTTACTGTACTGTAGGCGGATAGGGGGAAAGATGTAGGATTTCGGGCGGTTTAGTTATAAATGCCGAAAGCACGGATCAACAATCGGTTCTGACTGAATCCTGGTAAACCGGTAAGGACGTGACATCACGTAAGCGATGTCCCCGCCCTCAAAAGTTAACGCGAACGTCGACGAAACTAAAACCCCGTCGCCGTCATTAATTGCTATCGGGTCTTGAAAAAAAAAATTTCGGAAATCTAGAAAGAAAAAAAACACGTTCGAACGAAACACAAAACGGGCGTGAAATCGGCGGTCTTTTCTTTTTACCGCACGCACGGTACACGGTGAAACGAAATCGAAACGTTATAATTTTTACCGATCGAAAGGAAAAAAAAATAGAAAAAAAACGATTCCCCGAGTGAAATGTGCGGTGCAATAAGCTTCTCGCGGATAGCCCACGCGCAAAGGCGTCGCATACTTATATCATACGCGCCGTCGCGCGGAATCGTAAGCCGCCGTGGCATTTCCGTGCAGTACGTCGGCGGACGCCGCTGCAGTTGCAATCGCGCGGTACCGTTCCCCGGTGAGGTGACGACGGCGGGGCGGGACGGACGTGACCGCACGGCGACGGCTGCCGCGGGTTACGGACAAAATCAATAATTATTATTTACGTATTTGTAGTCAACGGTCATTTCGACGCGGACGGCGGCGGCGGCGGCGGCGGCAGTGGCGTCGAAAAACGATCATAATTACGAAACTCCACTCGAACGTGACCGTGTTCGACGGCGACGGGCCGCTGGCGGCGCACTCGGTTCGTATCGCCGACCGAGCGGACGGCGGTGACGGGTTTTTTGAAAATTTCGACCGGCGCGACTACCGCGCAACACGTTTTCTCTCTCTTCCGCACGACGACGACGTCAATATACGACACTGTCGTTATTAAAACGCAATTAAAATTATTATTATTATTTTTTTTTTTTTTTTTTTTTTTTTTCCAATCGCGCAATTATTATTAATAACGACAATTAATAGTACGCGCGCCGTCGCGGTCGTCCCGATAATAATTATCACTCGAGACTCCGACGGTGATTATAATATTTCGCTCGTCCCGAGCGCCGTTCTGCGGACGGTTTTATCGGCCGTTTTGTGCCGAACCACGATATTTAATTATCGTACGAACACAATAGTATAACATGACGCGCGCGCGCGCGTGGTACGCGTTTATTCAAATTGCAGCTAGCGATTTAATGCGATATCGGAACGAGCGGGCGATGATTCGCGATAACAATTATCGGACCGGCGTACAATTTCCGCGGTGATCTCATAAAAAATATCTACACGCGTTTTTCTTTAAAAATCAATCGATCCGTAGGTATTGAAAAACCGCACGAACAGCTCAATATGAACGCTGCAACAGTCGGCTAAAAAAAAAAAAAAACGATGTTTTCAAAAAACCCCGTAACGACAGGTCCGCGACAATCGGGCGGATAATTAAAATTTAAAAAAATTGTACGATAATTGTCGCGAACGATTACCGGCGATCTTTTAATAGCCTTTTTTATTATTTTTTTCTCCCGTCCCGTCACACGCCCTTACAATCGTGTCAGGGGCACTGGATTTTCGTGTCCCTTTTTGCCATCATATATTTAAAGAAACGCGGTCTCCCAAGGAGTCTCTTTCCGTCGCGTAAGAGTGGGTTGTGACTTCGCCAAGCATGTTCACCGTAACCGTTTCTAATTTTGTCTAGTCCTATAAAAGATTCCATCCGGTATCTACACAGACAGTGTTGTTTTTTATCCGTTTCCGGCCGGTCACCATTTCCCTTTCACTACCCCGACAATTTGTCTAGGAATTTTCATTTTCAATGCAATTATTATAATTTCGTTTGTTTCGTTGTCTCAACGGTCAACGTTGTCGCTCCGCAAGTAATCGCATGGCGAAAAAGCGTAGTCCTGTACAATCGTTTCTAGACTTTTCTACGCGTACACCTCTGCGGCGTATTTCCGAATCCGCAGAAACATTCGTTTCCCGGCAGAATTCCTGATTCTATATACACTCCTTTTAGATAGCTTCGTTTGCAAGCAACCTGGAAAATCGTGTCCCTGAAAAATAAACGGACGGCCGTGCGACGCTGTGATACGGAACGGGCTGCCGCAGTCGGCAAATCGAAACCTCTCGCTGCGGACGTCTGACCGTGTTTCGGGGGTTACTGTGCATCGGAAGCTGGGCGTAAATAAATAATCGTCGTCGTCGTCGTCGTCGTCGGCTTTTGAATAAAATATAACGGTACCTGTATACGTGGCGTGTACGCATACGCGAGATCCGCTCGCGTTTTCCAAACGGATCCTGCTGTTCGGTTCGAATGCGGCGGGGAAAAAAAAACCTCGAAAACAGTGTTCGTCGAGTACACACAATATCCGCGGGTCGTAATATTATTTCTACCGCGTTTTCGACCGCGGCTAATCGGAGACGCGAGGGCGTATTATCGCGGGCGCGCGGACGACACGCGTGACACGCGAATTTAAACGCCGTCCCGTTACCCCAACCCCTCCTTCTCGCTCGTCCCCCCCCCCGCGGGGTACAAATGGATTTTAATTCGAGTTACGAGTTCTCCGAAGTACAGTTCAGCGCCGTAATATATACGCCTGCGTATACGTTCTGTGACGGTGTGGATTTGCGTCGGATTCGACGACGGCCGACGGCCATAATATTATGCACGCAGGTACATACGGGAACCACACGTAACCGCCGGAAACCGGAAAACGTCTAACCGAGATCCGCCGTTCGCGCCGAAACAGAGGAGAAAAAAGTAAGCGACCGCTTTGAATGCGCCGTATACGCAATGTCGCTGTAATATTATACACACGGTGATAATACGGCTGTAAACACGCGCGCGAACGAATCGAGATTAGCTCGTGTGCGACCGCGTATAAACATGGTTCGATAAACCTGTAAAAAAAAAAAAAACGTCGCGGTATCGAGTCGAAAACCGTGCGTCGTACATTGTAGTTATATTACCCGGTCGAGCGATTCATTTTTCGTATTCGATACGTAATGGGTATTTTATTTAAGGATTTTCGGAATCTACAATATTTTTAATTTCCGACAGACGGACGAAACTCGTTTCGCCGGCTAGCTCAATAACGAGTTTTTCTATCCGCATAATAGTAGCATAGGTACCTAACTTAACTATGCGATGCAACTACTGAAGAGCGATAAAATATTATTTTTTTACATCCGATGAGATTTTCGAGTTAAAATAACCGGAATTTAAGAGGGACACCGGCGGTGGCGGCTACATTGCACTATTACGGTGTATTCAATATTAAAAAAAAAAAAAAACGTTGCGCGCGCACTAAATATGTATTTTATATACGTGAACGGGTCGTGGCGATTTTTTTACATTTCGATCTACACAGTGAGTAAAATCGAAACCGTCGTAGAAGATTAGCGAGGGCCTGGCGGTTTTTTTATTCGGATTTGAACTCTCGCTTTCAATAAAAAAAAATATACATGTATATGAATTTGAACACTAATAAAATAGAAAACCATTCGATATTTCGCCTTGAGCCTCGCAAATCCTGTAAACGGTCCCGCTAACGACACGAGATTGTTATTATAATGAGTTCGCGGTTCAATTGCTATAACAACCCGGGAGTAATGTTCGTTTATTGATACGGCGTAAAAATCTATTCTTGTCGTCCGACGTCGAATGACGTGAATATTAAAAGAAACATATCAAGATAATTTTTGTCTTTTAGAAAAAAAAAAAATCCGTTAGCTGCAAACGCGAACGTGACGGAAAGATTAGCGTTGTTTTTCTGTGTGTGTAAGAACGCGCGGAAAAAAAAATGTTCTCCGAAAACGAATATTGTAACGTTGTGATAATATTTCGATCGTATCGGGCGTCTTATTATTATTATCATTACACAGCTCTGGCAAGAAAAATACAAAAACGTCTTCATTGGGTATAGCTGGTACATTTATTATCTGTCGTGACGATAAATCGCGTAGGTTTAATATTAAAATGGCGGGAAAAAAATGCTCGACTTATTTTATCGCACGAGTGCGCGTAGAAGTATCGCAATATAATAATACAAAGGCACCTGCGAGTTTGATTTGCACTGTCAACAACACAAAACTGGTTACTTTTTAAAATTTATTTTACTAATTTTTTTTTTTTGCGTTATCTCGACGTTGCGTTTTAAACGGCTTTATCGCCGTCCGTCTTGAACACGGGTACGCGATACCGTATTATTATATTATGTGAAATCAGATCACTCCGAAGAACGATGAACAGCAGAGTATTAATATTATTATTATAACGCTCTTGAAATTCGTCCTCGGCGCGTATAGTAATACCTAATAATATTATAATATACGGTACGGTATCGAATTACCCGATGTACCTATCTATATTGCGGGTATAATACCAAAACTATAGGTGTATACGTACACGGAGTATTCGATACGCGAACATATATTATGCTCAAGGAAACGATTGCGTAAAAGGAAAAAAAAAAATACAAACAGTTTATTACGACGCGTTTCCCTGTGTGTCTCTCTCGGTGATATTCTCACTGCTGTCGTATTTCACACACAATAATATCACGAGACGTATAATATTATGACCGACTCTTCGGGGTTTCTTTTATTATTATTATTTTTTTTTTTTTCATAATTTATCTTGGCGCCGTTCATTTAACGTAATTGCACACGAGTATATTATATTGTGGTTGTATCATAATTAAATTAATATTCATTTTTTCCGATGTAAACGGCGGCGGCGGCGGCGGCGTCCGTCGTATACGCGCCTCCGCAGTACTGCTGGCCGCAGTTTATAATAATATATTGCACAACGTTATCCTCGACTATGTAATTACTACCGTGGTATATTATTATACAAGAGTTTTAATAACGTTAAGAAAAACCAAAACTAAGGAAAAACTACAACTCGACCGACGCCGACGTTCCGTTTTGCCGACGGCCAGCTGTGTTGTGTATAAAGATACGTTTTAATGGACAAAAAGACGGACGGACTTTGCGCGACGCGTGGGCCACGGGTTGTACGTGAAAAATCGGGAAGTTAGAATCTTGATGGGGAATTTAATTTGTATCTGTACGCAACGATAAACCATTGTTAACGAAAAGCGATTCGGAGCGACGTTTCTTTTAAACACGCGCGCGAATTTTCCGTTTTTTCAGATTATTATGAAAACCGCTTGAAAAATCAAAACAAAAAATGAATTCATTAAAGTCCCACACGGATAAAATTTCATTTCGGAAAAGGTACTGTACATGAAAATCGGAGCAAGGTTTTAGGTAGAAAAGTCTGTTGTTTACAGATAAAAAAAAAAAAATTGAAAATTTATGTACTTTATTATAAAATTATTACATTCCACGGTATACACTCCGAATCTAAAATAAAAGATAATCGTTAAAAATATAATCCAAAAAATATTAAAAATCGATAACTTCCATATCTAGACAACAAAAAAAAGACAATTTCATTCATTACGAAATTGATTCGCCGTACTCGTAATTATCTTACTATATATCTTTTAATGTTCCAGTCCGGCACTCATGCCACTCTGTTGCTTTTTTACTTACCACTTCCTCTACTAATTTTGGTCACAATGAACTACTATACGCCCGTACATGTATTTACCAAATTAAGTTCCTTCTTTTCTGCTTTAGTAATACTTAGAATAACCAACAATGTATTGTTTTAAATTTAAAAACTGTAAATCGGGCAAAAGCCAGTGTTATATTACAAAATAAATAGATTAACGAATAAATAGATTATCAACTATCATAAATATGAGTGTTACACGAAGTATACCGGATTCAGTACACGTTTAGATTTTAAAATTCCATTCATCGAACCGTATTAAACGGCCCCGTGTCGGCACATTTGTTTTGGCCCGAAAAATGTCTCGTACAGTGATCTGATAATTCTAATTTTTTTTTTTCTTGTCACAACGAAGAAAATTTCCTATTAGCGGCATTGAATTCGATGTTTTAGATTTGAAATTTGGAATTTTGTTGGAAAAATATATCCAATATTAAATCGAAAATACTAATTTTCGCGCGACAACAACGGCGTGTTACGTACGGCGATAATGTACCTACACAACGATAATAGTAGTAAAGTACCACAAAAACTTCACACGGTCCGGTTGAAACAGAGAACCACGACAAGAAAATAATGTATGAAAAATAACAATGAGAAAAATGCGAAAAAAAAATTGCACATACGCGTGCTCCAGAAACCGGCCAGAAGTGTAACGCATTATATTATACAGTACGGTATATACGGATAAAACGCACGATAATCTATATTCCTTATCGCTAATAAGCTCATGTACGTGTGCGTGCGTGTGTACAATTTTTTTTTTTTTTTTAGCTGATCACGTATTCGAGCGCTGACGGTCTCCGCGTCGAGTCACAAGGTACGCGCGTATATATACATATATTTAAGAGCGAGCGCGCGAGGCGTAGGAGAAGGCAGATGGGAGAGTGGTGGGAGGGGATAGCTCGGCAAAGCCACTCAAAGTCCCATACGGTTGACACACGTAGTCAAATACTCGAGTGTTGGGTTTATGCGTGCGAGTGTGCGGCGCCGTCGTCGTCGTATACTTAGAATATTATGTATACGGTGTATATATGTCGTATTTGTGTGTATATATGTATATATATATATATACACGTATTTTTTTTTTTTTTTTTTTTTTTATAAACTAACGCTCGGTGCATATTCGCGGTTAACATATTCATAATGGCGCGGAGGAGAGCAAAAAAAAAAAGGAAAAAGAAAAAGCCCTAAAAACCGCGTATATCCATTTTGGTCGTGCGTGCCGGCGCGCGAGCGCGGACGGAATATTTTTGCCGAATTTATTATTATCGCGTATATTGTACGTATACCTGCTGGCGTTGCGTACGCATATCTATGTACGAGAAATCGATTGACGGACCGGAATGTGTCCGGATGGAACGGACGAATTCGTTCGGAAAATTCGACTTTTAACGATTGTTGTTCCGTCACGCGAAATTCACCGAAAACGACAGAGAGACCTCGACGCGAACGAACCGATTTCGTTCTGTGTTCGGACCAGTGGCGTCAGCTTCCGCCGTAGCCATGGTATTATTATTTCGGTTCGAATGGCAGCGGCCGAATGGCATTTCCCGCCGAATTTAGCGGATTCGCGATATGTGCCGGTGATCGAAGGACGCGCGGCGTAATATTTCCGGCGGTATTTTTTTTTCTCTTTTTATGGTACACGGGTAAAATTTTTAGTCAATTTTTCCCTTCGAACGCGAATCGAACGACAAACATAATATATATTTCGTATTTAATGTTATAGGTTATGCGCGCACGCTACCGAAATGGCCACTGACAAAGATAACGCAGTTGTCGTTATCGGTCTTGGCTCGTAGTTATTCGACTACGTCACATCGACCACGCTATAGTTATTCGTCGATTAAAAATTATTATGAATGTAACTAATTAATTACTAGCCCGTGGTCCGTAAAAATACCTGCGCGCATATGCTATAATATAACTCGCCTGTACGCTGCAGTTAAACTCGTAATAATATTCGGTAATTTCAGTCGATTATTTGGTTGAATTTGCTTAAAATACAATTTTCGCCGAGTACAACTGCAGTTAAACCCTTTGTCTAAGTATTCAAAATGCGTACCGTAATCGTGAAACGCCTTTTTTAAAAAGAAAATTCGAAATGGAACGGACAGCTATTTTTTGTTTTTTATTTTTTTGCGTAAATTTGGCGAATTTGTAAATAAAAAAAATATAGAAATTATCAGTGAAATTTCAATAGTTTTTTTACGTTACCCGGTGGATTTAGAATTTTGAAGCTGGTGACACTTATCACAATAAAGAAAATAAACGCTTAATTGTTACCGTCGATTGATTATACACGCGGTCGAAGCCTACGCGTTCTCACAGTGTGTGCATCGATTGATTATGTATATTAATGTTCAATAAACGAAAGCAACAGCGCATTAGTAATTTACACGCAAAACCTTCGACGCTATCGAACGAATTCGGGGGGGGGGGAATACTAAATTTGAACGTTTATTATAAAAATTAAAAACCGTATACATTACCATCGCTCTAGAGCCTCTGTAACTGTGATATTTCGAGATTTTATACTATAACAATAAGTCCGTTGATTATTACCTGAAACAAAAAAAAAAAAAATGTTTAAAATGTGTAGGTATGTGAAGGTGGTAGTGAAAACAAGTAAAGAATATCTGCCTGTAGGTGTTGGGAAGGTAAATTTAAAACGGTTCCGATTTCCCCAATTTTATTTTTATATAAGTATAATTGTATAGTAGTGTAAACTACGCTATTTAGTGAACGGCATAATATACAAAATTATACACGAGTAAAAATGTGTTTCCGGCAGATAATCCCCGAAAACAGAGACATTGTCACCGTCGCGCAAAAAGCGACTAAAACGATTTAAAAAATTAAAAAGTTAATTTACATTTCCGTTTAATTCGAACCGTGTATTAAGCGTTTCATTAACGGTTTGTAATATGGTTTTCCGTCCATAAACAGTGAACAAAGTTGAAATAAGGTATTTACAAACGTGTTTTTTCATTTATTTTCCCCGGTACGTTAGGAAACGTATTCTGCAGCTGCCTCCGGACCGAAAGAGCCCGAGTTCGGGGGAATCGGAATCGTTTTATAAACGGATTGTAACGATAGAATTTCGGCATGGAATTTCAACACGAATTTAATCATCTCGTTACGAGAAGAGCGTGATTTTTAAACGAAAAAATTTAGGTGCTCGGCAATCAGAATTTCTTTTTTTTTTTTTTTTTCGGATGATTGCAACGAACAAATTTCGATAGGACTTTTTTGTTAGTTTCCCCGTCGTTATACGTATATAAAAAAAAAAATCTAAATATCGTAATGGTAACGGCCGCGAGGGAAAGGGTAGGGAAATTCCACTCTATAAAGCGGCGGAGCTGCGAGGCTGCAGCTCGCGTGCGATTGTTTTTCGCTTTGTTTCTCGGACCGAAACGCTCGGTTCGCCGGGTTTTCGAAATCGTTCCGATGCGGATCGCGCACAAAATTATCGAAACGTATTATATACCCTATTGTTATACCGAGGAGTGTCCGTGTAATTGGACGAAAACGTTTATTCGGAAACGTTTCAATTATATTTTGTACCGCGGCGGCGTTAACGAGAACGGCCGCGGCGGCCGGCATTCCGGGCGTTCGACCCGGCGCGCACGCGTCCGTCGAACGTTTTGTAATAAAAAAAAAAATATGAAAAAAAAAACCCGAAAAATTTGACGTATTTTATTTTATTTTTTTTCATATAAATATATATATATATATATATAATAAATTATGCGATCGGTCGACCCGCGCATCTAAACGTCCGTAGGTTATTCGGTCGGTCGGTTTTTTTCTGCTCCGTCCCCGTCCCGTCGTTTTTATCCCGCAAAATGAATTCCGTTCGATCAAAACGGACGTCGTCGTCGTCGTCCGCAGTCTTGTCGAGTTATAGTTCACGTGTTTCACGATTCTAAATTCCGGTCGTTTCAATAAAAACAACAATTCTGCAATAGGCAGTTTTGGAGAATTTTCGTAACGTACGGTTTTATTCGAAACGCAGTGTCATAAACCGATAACCCGTCACATTTATATTTTAATCGACCTGTACAGCTGAACAACACGCGAAATCCGAAAT